CTGTTCTTTGGGTAAAGGTGGGCTGGGTACTTGCAAAGGCACTCCGACGCTCAAGTCAGTGAGAGTGATTAGATCAAGAAATCTTTTCTTAATTCTCCTTAGGGAAAAACGTACCTTTTTTCTGGTATGCTGTGTGTATTTAAAGTAATAAAATAAACCGTTACCTGATGATCCGGTTACCTGATAATTCGGTCAGTTACTAAAGTTGACTGTGTAGGAGTTATAACTGCTAGATCGTGTGCTAATATTAAGCTACCTATTTCCGTAATTCGCGGCATTAGTTAGTCAATTACGGTAACCGTTTATCTGTAACCGATAGACCACGATGTCGTGTTCTATATGTCGGTCATCTCGCATGTCGACATAAGTGGGTGACTTGTCGTACGAAACCCATTCGATTGTCGATCCTCAAGTGGTCGACAACGCCATATGGTTGTACGTCGGGCACCGAGCGGTCGACAACGCCATGTGGTTGTACGTCGTGCACCAAGCGGTCGACAACGTCATGTGGTCGTATGTCACTGGGTTATTGGTCGACCGTTGGAGGATTAGGTATCCTATAGTACAATTGGTTTTAGAATAGTATACAAGAATCAAACGAATCTATTTAGGAAACGTAGCATAACCAATTTCAATTATCATTCGATACAAGTTATTTAATTTTGCAATATTTTATTAAATATTTTTTCGTACATAAGATTATTTGCTGATCTGCGACTTAGACCTATGACCAGAAAATATATATATTTTTTCTCTTTTTTTATAGACACGTTTCTCAACTTGCCTTTATCTTTTGAGCACAAGTTAGATCCAATTTTCTATTTTTGAAATGTTAAATCTTTTTTAATTTTTATTTCATTGGACTACTCAACTCAATCTAAAAGTTGAATAAAAAAGTAATCATAGAGCCTTCCTTTTTATTTGCTTCGAAATATCAGCATCAAATCCAGCTTGCATAAAACATGTAAATATCTAAAATCCAAACTTTCACCGTCTTTCATAATGTGTGTCAAAACAAATAACGTTGTGAAAAAGGAAAAATAATGTTTTTATTTATAAAATTATAATAAATATAATATTTCAAAAACAAACCAATGATTCTATTTTAAGTTAATATTAACTTTATATGTATATATTCAGTAAAATTTAAGATGTCATTCATTAATGTTTTGTTGATGATACTTTTGTTTTATACTTAACTTTTAACTAAATTAGGAATGTGAAATAGGAGTGAAAAGGATGAATTAAGAAGCTTAATTAATATTTTATTAATAAGCTTTATTAGAACATAGAGTATTATATTTTTTCTTAATGTCAGTTTTTTTTATTCCTGAAACTAACATAAGTCCCAGCTGTGAAATTTGTCTGCATCAAACGTGTCAGCAACTTTAACCACAACATCACTTCATGATTCCAATTTGCATACATAATTCAGTCAATCAGCATGCATTACCAATATTATTATATGTTTTTTTTTAAATCAATACTAATGTTAATTAGTGTACCATGAGCTTATAGTAGTATTATTTTAATCATAACACGATTACGTGTATTTTTTTTCTTTCTGATTTTGTCTATAAATTAAACACCATTGGTCACCAACCACAAATTGGTTTTCCATTTCCTTTGGGGTCTTCTGGGTGCAGATTTCCAACCTTAAATTTCTTTATCGAATCTCTCTGGTCGTAGGTTGCTTTGTTTCTTTCAAGCACAAACCCAAAATCTCTCGGGAATTGCTGGATTTTCTGCTTCTCCCAGCAGCAGATTTTGGGTTCTGACCCGTTTCTTGATTTTCTCCACCTGGGTCTTGTTGAATTCTTCTTGAGTCGTGAATTCCGTGTTGCTGGAATTGAAAGTTATTTTCTTTTCTCTCCTTCTGGGTTCAACTACCTCGCAGGTTTTCGATAAGATTTCCTTGACTTCGGATATATTTTGTCAGATATTGGATTGAACTAACAAATTCTTGCTAAAAAAATTTGTATCTTTATTTCCATTTAATAACTGGGTATGGTATTTTGTTGTTGATCATGGGTTTTGTTTTTCTGACATTTTAGGTTGCTTTGAGATTTTCCAAGGTTTGAAACCTGAAAATGACGATTGGTAGTTTAGCACCCAAGACAGAGAAAAAGAGATCAAGTAAAAACAAGGCAGTGGTTAATGAAAATGCACCCTTGTTGCCAAAAAGTCAGGTTCAGGGGAGTGATGCTGGGTTTGATGATTTCAATGGAGCTTCATTTTCTGGGGCTGTTTTTAACCTATCTACCACAATTATTGGTGCTGGAATCATGGCGTTGCCTGCAACCTTGAAACAGTTGGGGATGGTGCCTGGCCTTATTGCTATCATCATCATGGCCTTGTTGACAGAGAAGTCAATTGAGCTTTTGATTAGGTTTACCCGAGCAGGGAAGTCTGTTTCTTATGCTGGTCTCATGGGGGATTCCTTTGGGAAGTATGGAAAAGCTCTGGTGCAGATATGTGTCATAATCAATAACATTGGCGTGCTGATTGTTTACATGATTATAATTGGTATGACCCATTCTTGAGTCTATGTTTATTGTCATTATTGGCTTAGACTTTAACCATCAAGCCTAGAAGCAAGATCTGTATGGTTGTCTAATTTAGTTTAGTATTGCTTATCGTGCAGGTGATGTGCTCTCTGGAACATCTTCAGGTGGAGATCATCACTACGGTATCCTTGAAGGATGGTTTGGTGTGCGCTGGTGGACAGGACGGACATTTGTTGTTCTTATTACAACACTCGCCATATTTGCACCCCTTGCGAGTTTTAAACGAATTGGTAAGTGTTGTTCATTTATTTAAACCATGGTGCATTTTTTCTAGTTTTGACAAAGGTTGAACAATTGATAACAGGGGATTGCTAGAAGGTTGTTGTCATAGAACTACTCATCAGATTAGTTGTTAGAAGTATTACGGCCAATTTGAAATACCATTATTAGTAGGACATCCCAATAATTGCTTATTAATAGTGGTAGCTTTCTGTTACAGTTTAGTCATGTTTTGAAAATATCTATTTTATGGTAGGAATTAAGAGAATTTTGGGAGCATTTA